CCCCAAAACCCCAAAACCCCAAAACCCCATTAGCATATAATAAGCTATTCTATTGAATTTATAAATTATATTAAATGGAAGAAAAAGGGAAAGTGAAAATGTAAAGCATACATATTTATACATTATCAAATCCATATTATAGTATAGTAGTTGGCAATGTCAATGGCTCAATCAGCAAATTATACTCATTGATAGATTAGATTTAGTCTAAAAAAGGAAAGTTTGACTTACTTTTTTGTTGTGGGAAATTTTTCCCACCTAATGCAGATGTAAATTTATAAACTTTTTTAATAGAATATAGGATTTAGAAGAACTTTATAAAGAAATATTGAACCCTAAGACAGCAATCAAGGTTCCAATTTAAACCTTCTTTACAGACTCAACAAATTTTTCTGTTCCATTAATGAACTCTTCAAAATCTTAAGATGGTTTAGAATTATGTAGAGATCTGAGATTTTTAGGGCGCTCAGGAGTCAAAGTGATTAATGGATTGAGAGTTGGTTATCTTAGTGGAACTGATATTGATAGTATCACTTTTTAAGATTAGAACAATAATCAACATTTTATGGGTAATTATTATAATCAAGCAGATCTCTAGAAAATAATTGATGATTATAATGAAATCGTGCAATCAGATAAAAGCCAGTAAAAAGGCATAGATTTATTCTTTACAGGATAGTGGCCTCTTGATATGATAGATGAACAGTATTTAAATTCGTAAGAATTTTGATTTTTAATTTTTATCTTTGATGTAGTCTAAATCTGAGTGATAGAAAGTAAATTTTTTACAACAGCTCTTCATCCTATTCAGCTTTGATAAGTATGATTTCTCCAAGATATATTTACTCTTCAAATATTGATACTCATTATAAAAGACTTCCATTTGTGAATCTAGACAAGTTTTTTAGCAGATTTGTCAGTTTAGGATCTATTCCAGGAAAGCATAAACCAACTGAATCTAAATAAGTATATATTCAGGCTATTGAAATATAACCCTTATAACAAATGAACAAGGAAGAACTCTACAATCTTTAAACTCTAGATCCTAATGAATACACTTAGAATCCGTTTGAATACTATAGTTAATAAGGAGACCTTGAGAAAGTTTTGAAGTATGCATATGATAGGAAACTTTATCATGGAGGAGTTATTTTGAATATTGAAGAGGAGGAATAGCGAAGAAATTTTAGAGATTAGTATTAGAATAAAAGGTCACATAATGATGATGCTGACTATTAGTAGGAAGAGAAAATTATATATGTTGGAGGCTTTGATAGACATTTAGCCTTCGAGGATTTAGAGGTTTTCCTTTAGAAATATGGAAAAATTAAGTTCATTAATAGGTAATTTGATTAGGTAAGACCATTAATTAATAACTTTTATTTAGAGGGGTAGAAGCAAAGGATTCGTGTTCGTAGAATTTGAAGAAAAGGAGAGTGCATAAAAAGCTGTTGAAGAAAGTGGAAGAGCAAACATTTTGGGTAGAAAACTAATAATGAATTTTAAAATGAAGAAAGTCAAAGTAGCTGAAGATAAAGACTGCTGGTTTTGCTATGATAATCCTAATGTAAGCAGCATTTTATCTTTAAATCTAATGATAGATTGAGAAGCATATGATATTTGATACTAGAAAGCAATTTTATGCTGCTTTGCCCAAAGGTCCAGTAGCTGATGAACATTTCTTGATCATTCCAATGAAGCATATTGCTCATTCATTGGAGCTTGATAACTAACAGGAGGATGAATACAATGAGATGAAATAAGATGCAATTGATTTTGTAACATCTTAAAAAGGATTGGATTACATATTCTTTGAGAGAAATGTACCATTTAAGTTTTAAAAAGCACTACATATGAATTCTTAAATCATCGGAATACCCAGTGATTCCACACTTGAAATGAGAGTTAGAAAACTGTTAAAGGTCTTCGAATAGTAATAGTAAGTGAAATTCACTGAAATAGAAGACAAGGATTAGGATCTAAGAGCCGCCTTGCAGAATGATCCAACTAAGCATTTCTTTTATTTGGAAATACCAGGAATGAAAACAGCTAGAGGCAGGCAGAAGATAAGATTTTTCTGTGAAATATAAGAAGGGAAAACTAAGTTTGACTTGCAGTTTGGAAGAGTCCTTGCATGTCACATTCTCAATGAAAAGGAAAAACTAAATTGGAAGAACTGCGTTTTGGATAAAGAGGGTGAGGAATAGCTTGCAAAATAATTTGAAAATGAGATGCAAGAATTTTTGAAGAAAAAGAAATGAAAAATAATAAATTACCCAATAATGTGAAAGTTATGACATTTCTTGATTAATTAAAGTTAAACTTAATTTCATAAATACCTTTGAATATTAATTAGTTTTCAGTCAAAGTTATTAATCAATCAGAATGAAATAAAACCTTCTGATTCATCTACAACAATAGGTAAATCATCATCATCCATATCATCAAATTTCTTCTGCTGATTTGATATTTATGCTTGCTGGATAAGCCTTTATTCAAGAGAGAGAATAGGTAGAAATCCATATTCAATAGAAAGCATTTAACTTAGTTTATCAATTCTTTGCCTTAATTTTTTAGGCATACTTTAATCCGAACATATTTCAATAAAGTTCTTGAGGCTATCATTCAAGAAATTAACCTTGCTTAGTTCAGCTTAGAAGAAATCCTTAGGTAGCTATTTAAGTTGCTCATAAAATACAGGGATAAACTTGTAGAATAAATCAAATTTATCTCTCACAGCAATTTCGCAATTACATAGAAGATTAACTATCTTCTTCCATTAATCATAGCTCTCTAGATTTTCACCTAACAAAAATGTCACAAAGGCGAATTAAAATTCTCCTAATAAACTATTTTCTTAATTTTAAAACGATTTCTCTAATACTTCCTGCAGAATAATGGACTTATCAAAATTAGCTTGAGTAAGTGCTTCTCCCTAAAGATGCGTTATAATCTTTCTTTTTGGAATATCTGAGTAATAGAGACTACTGTATGCATCCTTGTATTTATATTCTCTTTTCTTAGCTTTCTGTTATTTTTTCTCCTCATCCTTTACTTACTTCTCTAATTTTTCAATAGTCTCCTCAATATCATCATAATCTGCATTCGCATTTTATTCATTGTCTTTATTTTCCTCTTTCTCTTATTGCTATTAAATTTCTTCTTCTATTCTAAATTGCCTTTCTTACTCTTCACTCAAAATCATTCCATTGCTTAATGATTCAATTCTTTTGATAGTATTTTAGTCTATAAAATTTGAGAGACCTTGCCATTATTGATAATTATCTATTGGGTAGACACCTAAGTATTTATCAAAATCCATATTTCTCACTCCTTCTTGATAAGATATTTCTTCCTATTGTTCATCTAATAACTAAAACTCCTAATTTTTTTCATTCCATTTCCTTATCACCACATCTTAATTATCTGGTTATCTGTGATTAATATAAATAAAGAACCCCATTCTTGCAGAAAATTCTTCGTCTTTCAGCGAATAGTAAACATAATGAGCACCTGGAGGAATAACCTTCACTCCCTTGAAGTTAGGTCCGATCTACCAATATTGATTATCTATTCCAAATTACATTCCCTTTGGACAATCTAGAAGTAGCAAAAAGCCATACTATTTAACTAGCATATTAATTTGCTCCTAATCCTATTCCATTACTACTGTAAATTATAATAAATTGAAGAATAATAAAAAAGTCAGGTTTTAATTTAACAACTAATTATTTGATTTTAATATAAATGTTCGCATTAACGAAGCGATCTCCTGCAAGGACAAGCAATGACAAGATTAATGATGCTAATAGAATGATTCAACTTTATTAGACTATTACTCAAAAGAAAATGAAAGACAGTTATGAAATGAGAAATAGTTCTCTCAACAACCATCATTAGAGGCCGCCTTCGTAGAAAAGTCCTCCACATTTTGACAAGAGAAATACCATAAATACCAGCTCTTCTAGATATTAGACCAACTGCTCTTCTACTGCTTCTCTTCATTAAAATCAATTAAATAGTTTAAACCACTCAGGTAGAAACACTGCAATAAATGGCGCATTAAACACCACTAACTCTACAATAAGGTCAAGGAATTAAAGTCCACTTAATATCAAACCTTAAGGGCCTGCTCATCCAAAGCTGTTTGAGCCTATTCTTGGGGGAAATAAAAAATATTAAAACTAGATTATCAAACTTCATAAATGCATAGAATCTTAAAAAATATCTAAGTGTTCCAACTATAATGATGAAAATGCACCTCCTGATGCAGCCAAGCATTAAAGACCTCATCCCAACCCCAATAAGCCAATGAGATAGAAAAGCCTTAAAAACAAAGATGACCATGAGCCTATCCAAGAAGTAGAAGACGAAACAGTCATTAAACAAAGTCTAATTTTGACAAATAATGATGATATGTAGTCGAAGTGCTTTTAGAAAAAATACTTGCCCAATGGGTTTTGGCCTCAAAAAGAATTACAAGAATTAGTTAATGCTACAAAGAATAATACTGGAAGTATCAATGGCAGAAGGGAAGATAATACTAATTCTGGTGTCTTTAACACTATTCTTAATAGCACCATCAATAATAACTCGGTAGACGATGAACTTTATGATGATATTCCTACAGTTTAACATATCTATAAAAAGTACGTTTCAGAGAAATAAAAGCATTAGGCTACTAAAAAAGTCTTAGATAAAGCTATAGGATTAGCAACTATGCTTCTTAAAGAAATTTAGACTCTTGAGCTGAAGCAGCAGATGCTAAGTCCACAAAGAGTGTCATACCAAAATCCTCTTATAATGAGTGTTGACACAATGAAATCATTTGATCCAAATCTCTTACTGAGCAAAAGAGCTTCAATAAGAGATGACATGAAAGAGATTCACGCTCTTACAATGATGGTCATGAAAGAGAATGATTCTGTTTAAAATTAATGAAGCTAATAAATATAAATCTATTGATGTTATTCGTTTGCCTAATAAGATTTTATTAATCATCTTCAGATAATGATATTAAATTTAATGTTATGCTGGGGTTTTGGGGTTTTGGGG